CGGTGAATGTGCACCACCTCCGCAGAGGGGTAACAAATCATATAACAAAATTGCCGTGTGCTCACGAGTTACGAAAACGCGTCTTAAAACTCACGTAATAACTCGTTACTTGTTGATGATAATTTAAAGTTGTTCAATGATGATATATGGTACACTTGACCCCGATATATGTTCTTATGGGAATTAAATGGGAGCTTAAGCATAACTTGATAATACTTGAGAATAAAAGCTTGACCTATTAAAATGCTAACTGCAGTAAACTGTAGTCTATCCTTTTGAGCTTCATAACCCCATGTTATCTTGCTAAGTACGGAATGTACTTACACTTGTTTATTTTCTTTACTTGGATAAAAATCCCGGATGGGTAACAGATGACAACGGGTATGAGGATTTCCCGGAGGATTATTAGGCTTGTGGTCAACCAGTTGACCTTCCCTGTGATGACGGCCACGAGAGTTTTATTATCTTTTTAGTATTCCGATGTGATGTATAAAACTAAGTTTTATTACAACTCTGATGTATGAGACACCGTGATGATACTTTTTGTAATTTGTCAGCTTGTGTGTGTGATTGATTCCTGGGCACACACGAGTTTTGTGCATTCAATTTTATCCTTAAAATTGGGTGTGACACTGGTGGAGCGAGATGTTGTTGAGTGTGGCGAGCAGCTGTGGATCCAGCTGGGAGGAAGAGCCGGCGACGTGAGCCTGGGGTGCCGGGGCTGAGGGTCGGGCGCCAAGAACGCCGGCTGTCGTAGTGCGTGGTGGCACCTGGAATGGCCACGCCTGAACCATGCCCGTCCACGAGTTCATCGTCGGCCAGAAGCCGGGCGGTGGCGCCTGGTTCGATGGCGCGCCTTTCTTCTTCTTTTTTTTGTTGGTGGAGGAGGAAGGCGTGGAAGGGCGACCGCTGTTGTAGGGTGCTGAGGGAGTGGACGTCGTGGCCGGCAGTTTGCCAGTAGCGCCCTGAGACGTGGGCGCGCCGGGTACGGTGTGGGCGACGAGGGCAGTCGCGGCCTGAAGATGTGCAGCCGATGGCGCCGCGGATGGAGCGGCAGACGAGGATGATCCGGTGTTCGTGGCCTTGGCGACCATTGCCGCCGCAGCCTGCATCTTCTCGGACTCGGCGATGCGGTGTTCTTCGAGCTGCAGCATGGATCATGTCTTGAGGAACGACGGCAGGCGGCGGCGAAGGGTGATGTGTGGAATCGCATGATGGAGACGAGGGTTGAGGCCGCAGACGATGTTGTAGATGAGGTCTTTGTCGTTCACCGGAGCACCGAGGCCGGCGAGGCGGTCTGCCATGACCTTCATGCGGGAGCAGTAGTCGAGGACGGTGAGGTCGCCTTAGTAGAAGTTGCGGAACTCGGCGCCGAGGTAGACGGCGTGGGTGTCCTTGTTGTCGCGGAAGAGGTTGCGGACGCCACGCCGATAGAGTAGGCGGTGTTGTGTCCTCCAAGACCATGGAGAGGAGCTCGGGGAGATACGGTTGTAGAACCAGAAACGATGGCCCAAATGTTTCAAGACCAATCGTTGTCGCCTTAGCCGCAGTGCCGCCAACGTGATCACGGAGCCCGTGATCGATCAAGATGGCGGAGAAGGAGCGAGCCCAGCGACGAAGTTCGCGGCATTGAAATCGAGGACGATCGCACGCGGTTCAGGATGTTGATGCCGTGGACGACCGACAGGGGCAGCGTGCTTTCGGTCTGGACGCTGAGCGTGTGTGGAGCAGCGACTCAAGGTCGGAGTTGTCGGCGGAGCCCGACGAGGAAGTGGAAGAAGAGCTCATGGCGGGCGTAGAGGAAAGCAGAGAGTTAGGCAGCGGAAATTGTGGATCGTGAACCGTCTGATACCATGTAAGCGGGAGAAAAACAATGAGGACAACTCAATTGTATTGATCAGAGGCTTACGCCTTTATACAAGTACATCACGGTCAGATAACTGACGAAGCTAGCTACATTCAAGGAGAGCCTTACGACGTGTGAACGTGCAGTGAATGTGCACGGAAACTTCGCTAACAGTGATGGCCAGAGCACCGACTTCTGGCATGACCGCTGGCTGACTGACGCCCCTCTCGCCGCCATGCTGCCTGCGCTCTTCAGCCACTTCGACAGGAGAGCAACTTCGGTGCACGACGTCCTTGCATCAAATTGGCGCAACCAGTTCCAGCGAAGGTTGACAGCACAAGCAACTGACGAATTCAACCAACTGTCCGCGATGTTGCAAGGGGTGGCACTGAACTCAGAGCCCGACGATCGTGCCAGCTTCTTCGAAGACAGTGACCACCGTCTGCTGGAGGGTCTCATTTACAAGGCCTCCACGCGCGGCGACCAGCAGTGCCCTTCGTACTCCTTCATCTGGTGCAACTTCGCTCCTCCACGGGTGAAGTTCTTCGGCTGGCTCCTCATCCAGAACAGGATCCACTGCCGGGCGGCGCTAGTACGCAAGCACATCCTCGACGACGCGCGCTGTGAGCTGTGCGGCTTGGCCGATGAGACAGCAGACCACATTTTCTTGGAGTGCAATTTCATCCACATCTTCTGGGTTCACATCGGTTGGTCGCCCGCCGGGATCGCCAAGGTCTCCGAACTCTGGAACACCCAACCTCCTCCCAGGATTTCAAAGGTGGTGCTGAATCCACTGCTTCTTCTACTGTGCTGGGAAATTTGGAAGCATAGGAATGAGGTAGTCTTCCGTTGATTGCCGCCGGATTTAACAAGACTCACCTCTGCTTGCAAGGCCACGATCATGGATTGGGGATGCCGCATTCCCAGGAAAGAGGAAACTTTAGCTAGGCTATGGAGAAATCTGGTGAGCATGTAATCTACACTCCTCCCTCCTTTTCTGAAACTGCATGTGTAACAAAGGCAAGGCCATGCCTTCCACCCACCGGTCTTCCGGCATCCGTGGAATATATTGCAGGTGGGGATTTTGTTAATCCCCCGAAGTTGACCTCAAAAAAAGATGGGCCAAATTCATTCATTCTTTATTCGTCGAGAGTCGATTCTCAAACATGAATCGATTCTTCTTCTCTCTCATCCGTAATTTGCTTGCTTCAGTTATTGGGACGATTCATTGAGATTCCACATGGGACAATGGACATGGGGTTCTTCCCTATTGAAAAGCCCTCGTCGCCAAGCCACATCAGCAAATAACTAGGTTTATGCGTTTGGTTGGAGGACAAAGTTAATGAGGTACGACGATCCATGGATATTGGAATAAGAATATTCATGATGCATGATACATGTTTGATTGGACGGATGAAAGTGGATGGGACGAGAATAGTTGACTAATTATATCTATTATTTAAAAATAATAACAACTAATTACATACTAATAAATATATGTACTAATACTAATTTTGTCATGATAATCACTAATTTAAAACAAAATATATTAATTAGCACCACTAATATCCTAATTAGCACACCAAACATGCACTAATCAACTTATTAGCACTTATCAAAACTAATCCTATCATCATAATTACTAAGTAATAATATAACATACTAATAATTCTTAATTTATTTTCTAATGACAAAGATTAGAAGACATGGATAAGTTAGTCCGCCAGATTTTTTTCGGCCCAGAAAATCTAGAATCTAGAGGTATATTCCATATCTATGGATTTACTTTATCCCAGTGATCCACCCAACCAACGATACATATTCATGAATGGTCCCATCCCATCCATGAAGCAACCAAAGACACCCTAGGTGAACAAAAGTGAGAAATGAAGAGAGAACATGTCTATGATCAAGGATTTGTAGGTATTTGCTTAGTGCATATACGAGATCTTATTTTTATTTTGTTATTTTTATGATGCCTGTGTGTACTCTAAATAGAGCTTTTACTTCGTGCTAAAAAATAGCAAAGTGCATACTTAAACGACACAGAAACAGAGATTACAGACCTAATTAGTCATACCGAATAACACACCCCAATAAGTACTCCTCCGTCCACAAAAAATGTAATTATGAGATCCGTGCCGATCAAAGTAGCTTAAGTTTGACCAAGTTTATAGCAAATATTATTAATATTTATGTCTCCAAATAAATTTATTATAAAAATATATTATATGACTAATCTAATGATACTAATTTTATATCAGTAATGTTAGTATTTTTTTATATAATTTTAGTCAAAATTCAAACTGATTGATTTCTTGGGAAGTGAGAATTGTATTTTTTTTTTTTTGACGGAGGTAGTATAAGGACCCGGTATGCACTTTGCACTAAAAAAAATGGATTCTTTTGTTTTGGTGGCCTGCTCCTATTACTGAAGATACTGGGCCCAATTTAAAACGAGAAGCCGGGCCCAATTTACCGAAGATGGTCGAGGGCAGCCCACGGTGCAGCACCCGGTCACCCCTCTCTCTCATCTTAAAAAAAAATCTACAAAAAGAAGAAGAGCCAGTCAACCCGAACACGTGTCAGAGACGAGTACACTTCCTGGGCCCTACATCTGAAAAGGAAGGATTCCTGCCCACGGCGAGCCTAGCTGTGCGTTTGAGCCTTTGAGGCGGCGGCGATTGAGGAGCCAGGAGAGATAGGAGGAGGAGGAGACGGCAGGCAGGCACCGGCGGCGCGGGTGATCTCTCCAGAGTCCGACATCGCCGGAGCAGATGGACGCCCGGAAAGCCCCCGGCCGGGCGACCGTCATCCGACGCCGTCGCGCTCTACGAGGTCCGTTCCTACTCCTCACACGCCGCCCCCGCCGCGGTTCGCCGCTTTGTCTGACACAAGTGCTCAAAGGTTCCTAATTTCTACTTCAATGTTTTCCGACGGTGGTGTGCAGTGACGGGGTTTGGGATGAGAATTATGTGTGAACGGGTTACGGGTCGGCTGACGAGTGACAAATGCAAGCAGGGTTTTTTTGGTTAGTTCGTCTTCCCGGGTTACTTTTTGGTATCTGTATTGGCCAATTGTGTTCGCTGGGTTCATCGGTTCTAGTTTTGGGCTTCGTCTTTGATGGGGAGGTTAGGGTTTAGGATGGGCCGCGATGGATGACGATTGGCTATTGCTTCTCCAATCTCCGGTCTCAGAACTAGCGTTTTCCTTCCGTGGATGGATGTAGGGATGGAAGGAGGGGACATTGGCCTACATTTTGGTGGTCCACCTCTCTAATCAAAGCATTTCTCACAGTTTCCAATGTTTCGATGCTCTTAGGAAGTACTTCTAGGTTTGGGGCACAATTGGATGAGCCACCTAGTGGTTTAATTGTTTTGTTTCAGGAAGGGATATTACGGTTAATTGACACACCAAATTGTTTCTGAAACTTAAGGTTTAGATCCGTGTCCTGCAGCTGTTGCTCTTCTACTCCTATCTGTGTATTGGCTATTATCTAGTTTGTCAGAGTTTTGACTGCATTTCCTGTGAATTTTCATATTGAAAAGGATTATGATTGCTGTCTACTGGAAATGCAAATCATGCGGGTAAATAGGTGTTATGTACTTATGTGAGTGCTTGATGTTGAAAGGGCCACCTTTTAGATCAACTAGCAATATGGATTGTGCAGAGATCAAAATGAAATGAAATACCCTGCCACTTTTAGTGTAGATTTTTCTTTGCTGATATTTCCTTCCTTTGTGTAGCTCTTGTTCAAATACTTGCATGAATGGTAATGTTTATTTGTCTTATGGGTGGTTTCAAATTACACACTCAATTTTGTTCACCTCTCCATTGTAGCTGACGAATTAATAATTTAGTGATACTAGAGCATTAGTAAGTTGTCTCTGCATATACCTGCACAAATACACATGTTCTCATGTGATTTCATTTTTAATACGAGCATATGACTACTGCACACTCACATTATAAGGTAGTTATTTCATACTTAAGTTTTTTCCTTTAGTCTTGAGTTTCTAATTAGATTTCACACTTGCAGCACTCTCCTATCTTTGATTTCATCAATAGTTTATCTCCTATAGCGACACCAAAGCCTTTAGGTTCAACACAAAATGTCCAGCTATTCAAGTCATCAAACTTACCACCTCTTTCTTCAATCTTCACCTCGCCCCAAGTCAATCCACGAAAGGAATCTAAATCCACAATCAGGTAAATCTTCTATTATCGCTTCCGATAATATGTGTTTTTATCATTTAAACTTAGTACACATCTTTACATGTTGACCAGGGATGTTAAGCTTTCTCAAGAAGAACTCAATCCTAACTGCCAAAGGAACCAGATGGGGACTTTTAGCTGCATTGAACTGTCTGGATCTGCAGCACTTGCTTCAGAAAATTGTAGTCCTTCTGAGGATGCAACAAATTGGCCAAGTAAATGGCTCCAATCCACCCTGTTTGGTAGTGAAACTTTAGGAGATGCCAAGAAACAAGATACTGATGACAAAACAAATCATACTGCAGATGTGGAACAGGTAAAGCCATCAAGCACATACTCTGATCAGAATGGCCTCACCAAGTGGACTCATCAACTTCTGGAAGAATTGTTCAGGAGAATGAGCTGGCCAAACAGGATAGAAATGATTTAGCGCCATGCAGTTTAAACCACTTGATCACACATTGTGGTACTGGTAATAGTGTCATATCAATATCAGATCTGGCCTTAGAAGCACAACAACGGAGTTGGAAATTAAGAGGTGATAATATCATATCTAGCACATCCATCCTGGCAGTGGATCAAGGAAATTTGGAGGATTCACGAAGAGAACATTTTGTTGAGCCATTTGGATCTTATATCCAGAGTGCTGCTGATGACACTCATGTTTACTGTGCTGATGCAGCAGCAGGTGTTGCAACGAATCATGACCAAGAAATGCTCCCTGCTGTTATTCAAAACCAGTTGGTTTCAAATGACTATAATTTTTACACATTCAAAGTTTCCATTGATGGCACGGTAATGGAGAATCCCTTGATGCCATCAATAATTTTAGTCTTTCCTTTCTAATATAATTTAGGTCTGATTGATAGTGAATGTGTTTTTTCCCCTGTAATTTGATTAATCCTCTGATACCAAATCTGGACCTTCATTCTGGTTATATTAACTAGCCAGAGACTGTACAGTTTAAGTGTTGAAAACTTCTAAATTGCATCTATTGTAAGTTTGTAACAGAAGTAGGTGTGAAACCTTGATTTGACTGAAGTGCCTTTTATGTTTTGTTTTCCTATTTGATGCTCTTGTCAGAAAACATGACAATTTGTTTTCATCTCGCAGGCCATATCACAGCAGCAATGTGGTATGCATAGGCGTAACCTTTTTAACGACAAGGTAGGGCCATCTAATAAGAGAGTGCAAAATATCTCAAATATTCATCATGCGAATACATGTGGCAATAACTATCTGAAGCCTGTGAAGCCTGGTATTGGTTTGCATCTGAATACTGTTGCCTTGAATTTATCCAACATGCCGCTCACAATTAATCCTCCACTGCTACCTGAACAAACTAGTCCAGCAACAGTAATTTCTGGCAGTGAGACCGCCTTTATGGCAGTGAGGTATGCACTCATGTTGACGATTACTCTTCTCAGAAAACCATGCCTAATGCTGACAAGTCTGACCAACAAAGTCACAAGAAGAGAAGGTTAGTTAATATTTGCCTCTCTCGCCTCTCTTTATCTAGAATTTTACTCTATTGATGGTGACTTTTGGGAGTCCTTTTGCAGGCGCAAATTACAAAACGATGATGGTGAATCATGCAGACATTGTAGCTGTAAAAAGTCAAAATGCTTAAAACTGTAAGGTTCCTTGCAATATACAGATTTTCCATGTACACTTTACCTGTATCCGTGAGGATATCAAATGCGCTTTGAAGCAGACAATATGATAATGTTCGATTTGGCTGTTCCAATGTACTTGTAATCATTATGCTAAAAAAAGTACTTGTAATCATAAATGATATGGCCTACCGATGATTCAGGTATAAGACAAATACATGCATATGGTTGATTTGTGTGCAGCAGATACTTATTTGTTCAAGGCTTTAAGACTACTGACTTTCTAGGTTGGTCTTTCCTACCAAAACACATTGAAATTGGCTGGAAATCAGCCTGTTTTAACGGATATAGAAAGCTTCTATTTAAAATACTTCTCATATTTTATTGACAGAAATAACTTATTCTGTTTGAAAATCATCTCCTTGGTTGGATTCATGTAGAGTCAGCCTTGACTGCAATATAGTTCGTCATACCCTGGTTTTCATGAGGAGCTCAAGAACTTGGGCTTCTGACAGTTCTATCCCATTAGTGTTGGGTGCATCTAGTTTTGAGTTCTGGTTGTTTAATTGGTTGAGAGAAGTCGTTCTTCTGAAGAGTGCTGTTAGCTTTCTGTCTTTTTCAGACCAGTATCTCATACTCACTCATAGTTTCAATATTATAACATGAGTGATAGAGGTTTGACCAATGGAATTCACAAAAATTTCTCCATCAAGATAAGGGGGTTCAAGCTTCCTTCTAAGTCATATTTAGAATATGTTTGTGACATTTGAGTAAGCTGTTTTTTCCAGCTTGCGATGTAGCAGAAATGATGTTTTTCCTCAAATTATTTGTATCAGCATAACAAGTATTTTTTGAGGCTACCAATTCATAATTGTGGTTTCAAACAGCATTGTTGCTTATATTTTGAGTAGGGCAGTAGGCAGAGCAATCCTAGATTGGCAATAGTGAAAGTCAGTTTGCACTTTTGTATTCTATTATTTTGTTCTGGTAATAATTATTAAAACTTAAACTTGATGGATTTTCAAGCAACCTTCAAAGTTCAGACATGTCTAAACATTCATGTATTTCATGCCTGTTGTTTAATCTATGCAGTTTCAACTTCCTCATATAAAAAGTCTCAATATAATGATATGCAGCTCTCTTGCATGTTCGAGGAGGAAAAAACTTACTCATATAAAATAAAATTGATTGTTGCATTGATTTAATTGTATACTGCCTGGAGAACAGCTCCATTGATTTTGTTTCCTTGTTTCTTTCAACATGCAATGCCTTAATATCTGAAAGGTGAACATAAAATTACTAGTCAATGCAATGTCAGCAGATTCCCTTACTCTTTGTGTTTTTGAAAGAACCAAACGTATTTTGCAGACTTCTCATAATATTTGAAATTATGACCATCCTTTGTCATTTCTTGTGCAGTTATTGTGCATGTTTCGCTGCTAAAGTCTATCGTTCAGAATTCTGCTCATGTCAAGGCTGTTCCAATAATCATATGCATGAGGAAGCAGTTTCTCATATTCGCAAGCAGACTGAATCTCGTAAATCCTCTAGCATTTGCTCCAACAGTCACTTTCACATGTGGGCCTGTTTCAGAATTTGGGGTAAGAACTAAGAAGAACAGATCCTGTTAGTTGCATTTTTTTTTTTTCTTTCACTATTGCTCATGGCATCCCATTCATTGTAGGATGATTCTAACAACACTCTGCTTCCGGCCGACATAAAAAAGAGGATGCAATTGCAGGAAGTCTTCTTGTCTTAAAAATACTGCGAAGTGCTTTCAGGTACCATTTAACTTGCCAATTTAGTTTTCTTGACTTAATCTAACTTTGTTAATAAATTGACCCGTTCATGTGTTTATTTAATATATAATGTTATTCTGTGTCATAAGAGTGGTGTAGGGTGCTCCATAAGTTGCCGATGCGAGAGTTGTAAGAACTCTTTTGGAAAAAGAGAGGGTGAGTTTGATCCATTCTCGATATTCTTTTCTTTAGAAAAATGCAATTAACCAGTTTACATGCTTCTCAGTTTAATGTACATGTACACTAATGTTTGCCAAAATTTGTGCTTGCCATCTTATCCCCATGTTCCTTTAAATAGCACAGCTTTTGGTCAAAAGGTGCTGTGTAAGTTCAATAACTGTGTCTTGAATTTTTCAGTTCCATGTCTGAATTTAGTTTACATTTGTGCTAGGATTTTATATATAGCTGGTTAGAAACTTATGATTGACAAAACATGAACAAGAACATGCTAGTTGGTTTGAAGTTGGGTGGCTAACACTGAATTAGTTAGAGTGTGCAATTTCTTGACAGGGTAACACTGAATTTGTGTTTACATACCACTTGATCTTCATCTTTGAATAGAGGCTCATGCTTGGAGCAGGCTTTAATGCTTAGTTGCCAGGTTTTAATGCTCTTATTTTCCCTTGAAGGTGTGCTGTTGTTAACTACTGAAAAACTGAAGAAAGGGGGTAAAGCAAAAGGCAGTCATGGGAAGGAAGAGAAACTTGCGTTTGACAAACACCATGTGATTAGCCAATCTGGTGATCTTGCAGCCTCTGAGAATCTACTCGCAACACCTTCGCTTGAGCCTTACAGGTTTGTATGTCTTGTGCATGGATGTTAGCATGATTCTTGCGTCCCTTACAAAACTCCATACGCTTAACATTTTGAGTTCTCTTTCAGATCTTCCTTCCTACTTCCATCTACATGCTCCAAACTGACACCGCAACTGCTGGGTGCTCTTCTGACTGCACAACCCTCGGTCTCCCATGAAATCAGATGATGTGCTCTCACCTTTCGTAACTCAAGGCTGCAGCGATGATTCTCGGAATGATTTTTCAGATATCCAGGAAGTGGGTTCATCTTGCACCACCGGTGTCAAGGTTGTTTCACCAAACAAGAAGAGGGTTGCCCCCCTGCACATTGGTACGGCATTGTCCCCAATCGGTAGCAGCAGCAGAAAACTGGTTTTGAAGTCCATCCCTTCCTTCCCTTCCCTAACTGGTGATGCTGATAGTGAGCCCCACTAAACAGAGTCCGTCAGCATATGGCACCTGAGGTACGCATTTGTTGTCTTCTTTTCTTCTCTAATGTTTTGTTTGCAAAACTCAATTGACTATACAGTTTCTTTTTTCAGTCTAGCTGATCCCTTCGGGTACCCTGGATCCTGGAAGATGATTTTGCCTGCTTTTGTTCTGACGAAGAGTTGAAGGAACTTGTTTTAGCACCTCTACCATATAGAAATATAGTTGCATTATCTTGAGAGGCCGAAGCCTAATAGTTCCACTAAATGTGCTTGACCTTTCGTCACCTAGTTCTATAAGGTCAGTATGTATATACTTCCACAGCTCGTGGGGTGAACTACATACGTATGGAACGAATGAATGCTTATTTCGTTAAAAAGAAAGAATGAATGCTTAAATTTAGCAGAGTAGTCAATTCAGTTTACTATAAGTTTGTGACCAAACATCACCGCTGCCATTTCCAGTCATTTTCCTTAAACACATTACACTCATGTACATCACGCATATAGGCGGTTCGGCTGGTTTAAAGCCAGCCGGGTCTGGCTTGTTTTTCCTCTCTCATAATCACTGCTTCACGCCCCGCCATCAATGGTCCGATTTTTCTCTCACAACAATCAGCCGAACAAGATTTTTCACCTCTCGCTTCTAATGTGCCCATACATCCTACCCCTATAAGCAATGATGAGCTGTCTTATGCTTGCCATCAATGGTCCGTCATCTGCAACTGAATGGATCTAGAACCCCTATACGCATTGCTGAGTTGTGGTTGAGGTGATCATTTTCAATGGTATAGTTGGGACCTCATCTGACATTTACGAGGATAAGCCTTTTATAGCTGAATGGATATCCCAATTGCATCCTTGGCATAAAAGAACAGTTCCAGTTGAGATTTGAGCAGTAACATATTTAGAAACTCAATTTACTACTCCCTCCGTTATAAATTATAATTCATTTTGACTTTTTTTTTTTACTCTAAGTTTGACCACTGGCCTTATTTAAAAAATTTGTGCAAGCATTGTCAAATTTAAGTAATTCTTGAAGAACTTTTGTTAATATAAAGTAAGTCACAACAAAAAAGAAGTGATATTGTGCACAAATTTTTGAATAAGACGAGTGGTCAAACTTGAGGTCAAAAAGTCAAACGAATTATAATTTGGAACGGATTTAGTACTTCAGTATACTTGACCTCAAGAAGAATTAAACTTCTTGTGGACTCATCCACAGACGTTAATACATATTAGATAATGATCTGGAGTACCTGCAAAACTCGTGTATTTATAGGACAAAAAGGTTCTAGCTTGCAAGAAATGCTGATAGAAGAATACAACTCTCGGTTCGTAAACCTGCCTTTCAATGTTTTGACAGTATAAAATCCACGGGGAAGTGTCTAACAAGTTTGGAAAGTCATGCATATATTTTGAAGAACTATCCAGCTCATTATACACATCAAACATCATGTTACATTTGTATTCTCTGTACACATAATGATGGTAGAAATTTTGAACAGTGATGAACATACAAGCTCATCTGAATGCCGAAGTCTGATACTACAAAATCAATCCATTCCACGGCCCTTGGTCTCTATAGGGAAGAACATGCAGGCAACTGCAGCAAGGCATAATATCACCTCAAACACAATGAGTGCTTCCATCTGGTGGCAGCTCCAGCATAGCGACAGCAACAAGAGGGCAAACAACCCCGCCAATTCTACCAACGGCAGTTGCAATTCCTGCACCGGTTGAGCGGACAAATGTTGGATATACCTATGAAAAGAAAGAAGGGAATTAGCTGCCAAGGCATAATCTGCTGCAACTGCAAGGAAATAAGTTCCACAACTTGACCACCAAAACTAGCAAAGCATGTTTAGAGTCTAAAGAACCACAGGCACAAATAAAAGTCGATTAGTAAAGGAGAGCGCATAGTAGATCCAAATGGACGTGGGATACTCTGGTAATGAGCCCTGTTCTATGATTCTTAATTGATGGCAGTTTTACAGATTATTTAAGCATGGTATAACTAATATTATACACCATATGACACTGATACAAACCTCTGGAGCATAAAGACACAAAACTGTAAAGCTCCCCATGGCACACGCACGGGCACCAAATAGAAGAATAGTTGTCAACAGCTCATTCTGTTGAAGTACAAGTGGTCCAAGGAAAGCACAGCATGCTAACATCATAGACCACATCAAGCTTTTCGACCAAACCAATCAACAAGAACAGCAGACAAAAAATAAACCTGGGATTTCTGTAGAGATTGAAACCACGAAGTTAGTGTGATATTCCAGTGAGACATAACAGGAGGCAAAAAAGAAAATAAGGGAGTTATCATATGATACCTGCTAAACTAGTGATGAAAGTATCTTTGTAAAGATTGGTAACCTTTTGGTTCAGGCCAACATTCACACCAGATGCACAGCTTTTTATTTGCATCACTCAACTGTGATGTCAGCAATACTAACCCATAATAAGCAAAGGAATTTGCATAGAAAACAAACCAAAGAAGAAGAGTTGATCTGAGCAGTTTATGCGATAACAGTATCGCCAGAATGCAGCAAGACTGCCAGATTCGGAGCTCTTGGCATTGTCAACTGTGCATTCCTTCTCTCTAACAGGAAGAAGACATTCACTCAGAAGCAAGAGAGCCGTGGGTCAAATTTTGTTTGTCTATTGTATGAGAATTCCTGGAGGAAGAGCTGATTGGTTTGCATTGGCCATTCTTCCAGAACAGCAGTGGCATCGACATTCTACTTTGTGCACAAAGGTAGCGCTGGAGACTCAGGTGTTACTCCAAAGAAAGGAAGCAAGAGGAAGTATGGAAGGGCGGTGAATACTAGCAGCCACCTCAATTCAATGCTGGTAATACGACCCTACAGCAACAAATATAAATATAAATTACTAAAACTAACAGAAAAGAAAGTAACCAATAAAATGTAAGCAAGAAGCATCATTAAACTGATTACCAAATTTAAAATTTACTGCATTTCAGTTATTTTAACTTACTGCAGAAAGTTCAAGAATTAGATTGCCCACATTATGGCATCACAGATTGTAACAGAATAAAAATATTATCAGCATACACGAGGTACATGCAAATGACATATGTGCTCGACATGAAGCATTCTGGCACAGGCACATGGTTACAGAAACATGCTTGAATCATATTCCACCATATTCTACAGAAAGTGTACTCGAGGTTCTTTCTGGTTCTATACAGGCACTATAACTTATAGTTTACTCTTCATTCGGATTTTATTTTGTAAACAGCATGCTCATGTGATTGGGAACAATTTCACTCGCATGCTAAGGATTGCATCTAAAAGAACAAAAATTATCATTACCCATGCAAGTGAAGCTTCCAAGATTGTGCCGAGAGTCCAGAAAGGAGAAAATAACCATCCAAGTGCCACGGTTTTGTGCAGGAACAAATTCCAAAAACCAAGATATAAACACATGGCTGCCACCCACTCCTACTCCAACGAAGCCGAAGAGCCACCAAGCATAAGTAGTTAGAGATAAAGCACTTAGAAAACCCATTCCACTAGTAAACAGAGTTGAAAAGATTAAACCAGTCTGAAATAGGGAAATGTAAGTTTTATCTCATTTATGCTTGAAACAAAGAAAGGAATGGCATACAAAGACTAGAAAATATCCAACTTGCCTTTCTAGTTTCATATGAAAGTCCTGATTAGATCCTCTAGAAAAGCAGTAATTTAATACCCATTTTCCAAGCCAAAGCATTATACAACTAACTCTTCAATATAGTTCTCAAAGTAGTATTGCAATGTTGCTGTGGATCCTCTTAGCATTCAGATATAGGAAAAGTAGAGAGAGCACATACTGAGACATGAAGGAAAATTATCTATGCTTTTACCCTGTAATCCTTGTGAATCATTGTATGAGGAAGCTTGCTGACATGGCTAGTTAGTTTGCCGACCGAAGCAAATCTAGCCCAGCCGGATGCCATGAGCAAACCACTACCAATACCTCTGTAAAGATGAAAATTGCACTGGTTCTCAAATTTGAGAAGGTAAATAGCTGCTTTTTTGTAGTAAAAGGTCAAATATGTACTGCATGAAAGTAGATGATGGTAAATTAGAATTTACCCTATAAAAAAACATTGCAGATTCCTTCATTTTTGTGTCAAATTTACCATTAGGTTTGGTGCTGGTGGCTTCTTACTGAAGTGCATTATTCAGTATTGAGGTTGTAATTTGTGTAAGCAGTTGCAGTTATAATCACATCATACTAAGCATATATGACTTTTATGCTTCAAAAATCTATAAAAAGAATATCCCATTAGCACATATAACGGACACATGTAGATTGAACCTAAGAATTGATATGGTTAATTTGAGGTTAAAAGATAAACTCAAGGTCAGGAAGGATCAGTTGACAACCAAATCATGAGAGCGCTTGCGCTTGTACGAGGAAACCTTACCTCCGTCCATATTTGTCGGAAACAAAGCCCCAAGCACAGGCACCCCAACAGCATGCCAGCAAAGACAACACTTGAAAGGAGGCTCTCGTTCTCCGGGGAGACGTTCCACCTCTCGTATGAACGGCCCAAGAAACGACAAGAGCATGAGCTCCATGGCTTCTGCGACCCAGCCCATCCCAGCGTAGATCAGAACAAGCGCTTGAATTTCCCAAACCCCATCATGGAGAGTGCGTCATCTGTGGTATATGTCTCCATGTTGGGAGCCATCACCTGCGGAATCCAGAGAAGTCATTCTGTCAGATTAGGATGTGAAGCACGAACGGCCCAGAGATATACTGTTTGCAGTTTTTTTTTCATTTTCATTTTCCTTTTGGAAACTGACCTGTAAGTTTCTTAACTGGACAGTGAACAGGGCATAAGGGATGCACGGCACGAAAGGAATATCCTAGCCATGAATTTAAGTTTCAAGTAGTCGATTGGATTAAGGATTTCCCACACCAACTAATAAAAAAAACAGATCGACTGGTTGATCGACGGAGGCGAAAGCAGCCAGACCCTGTTAGTGCTAGGTGCTAGCGCAGCTTCTTCTTTTTTTCCTCCCAAAAATTTCTGCCCCTTGACGCAACGTAACCCGGAAAGTGTAAAAGGGTAGATAGAATAAATATGAGGTCCGTATCAAGAACAAAGTAAAATAATCCTGATGACAAGACGGCACCAAGAACAGGCGTCCTCCACCCCGA